TTAGGTACCAATTTTTTCATCATAGGTGTCATTTTCTTGGTTCTCGAGGGTGTTGAAGCCGATAGTGCTGTCGAAATGTAAATCCAAGATGGTGGCTGCAATAGGTATTAATTTTTTCATCATGGGTGTCATTTTCATGGTTTTTGAGGGTGTTGAAGCCGATAGTGCTGTCGAAATGTAAATCCAAGATGGCGGCTGCAATAGATATCAATTCTGTCATCATGGGTGTCATTTTCATGGGTTTCGAGGGTGCTGAATCCGATAGTGCTATCGAAATGTAAATCCAAGATGGTGGCTGAATTAGGTACCAATTTTTTCATCATGGGTGTCATTTTCATGGTTCTCGTGGGTGTTGAAGCCGATAGTGCTGTCGGAATGTAAATTCAAGATGGTGGCTGCAACAGGTATTAATTTTTTCATCATGGGTGTCATTTTCATGGTTTTTGAGAGAGTTGAAGCCGATAGTGCTGTCGAAATGTAAATCCAAGATGGCGGCTGCAATAGATATCAATTCTGTCATCATGGGTGTCATTTTCATGGGTTTCGAGGGTGCTGAATCCGATAGTGCTATCGAAATGTAAATCCAAGATGGTGGCTGAAGTAGGTACCAATTTTTTCATCATGGGTGTCATTTTCATGGTTTTCGAGGGTGTTGAAGCTGAGAGTCCTGTCGAAATGTAAATCCAAGATGGCGGCTGAATTAGGTACCAATTTTTTCATCATGGGTGTCATTTTCATGGTTCTCGTGGGTGTTGAAGCCGATAGTGCTGTCGAAATGTAAATCCAAGATGGTGGCTGAAGTAGGTGCCAAGTTTTTCATCATGGGTGTCATTTTCATGGTTTTCGAGGGTGTTGAAGCCGATAGTGCTGTCGAAATATAAATCCAAGATGGCGGCTGAATTAGGTACCAAGTTTTTCATCATGGGTGTCATTTTCATGGTTCTCGTGGGTGTTGAAGCTGGTAGTGCTGTCGGAATGTAAATTCAAGATGGTGGCTGCAACAGGTATTAATTTTTTCATCATGGGTGTCATTTTCATAGTTTTTGAGAGAGTTGAAGCCGATAGGGTTGTCGAAATGTAAATCCAAGATGGCGGCTGCAATAGATATCAATTTTTTCATCATGGGTGTCATTCTCATGGTTTTCGCGGGTGTTGAAGCCGATAGTGCTGTCGAAATGTAAATCCAAGGTGGCGGCTGCAATAGATATCAATTTTTTCATCTTGGGTGTCATTTTCATGGTTTTCGAGGGTGTTGAAGCTGATAGTGCTGTCGAAATGTATTTAAACTACTTTAAAAAATACCGGATAACCATGTAATACGGAATTTTTTTAATGCGCTTAAGGTATGCCCATTTGCATTTACCAATATATAACTTTATACTTTCTAACCATAAGTCTGCAATTTGAAGGACAAATGACAAAATAAAACATTTATTAACAAAGGCATTACAGAAGTTTATTGCTTTATGATGTGTTTACATTTCAGGGATTGTTTTTTCTTTAATTTATTGAAGTTTTGGAAACACTTAATATAGCAAGTATTTGAACTATAAACACGAAAAACCATTACAATGCACCTGAGTAAAATTAACACCTGAACAAAATGTATACGCATTTTTTTTGATAATAATTTATATGACCTTTTATTTGATTTTGCCAAGATAGATTATAAAATCAAATCATAACAAAATAGAAATCGTATAATCTTTTAAGCAAATCGTTTTATTCTACTAAAAATCTAAATACAAAGGTGATTATGTAGCCCTACATTTTATAAATAAGCAATGTTATTGCATAATGTTTTACAACTCGAATATTTACATTCTGAAAATAGTAATCCTTATCTAATTATCACGCTTAGTAATTATAAAGATGGCTTTCAGAATTGTCCGGATGTCCTTACAAGACAGTGTATTTTTATTAAACTACAAGTGCAAGTATTAGCATCACAAGATTATTAGAATCATCTGTAATTTAATTGTGTTAAAGTGGCTGTTTCATTGCGCAACGACTTAGCATAGAGATGTTACGCTGAGGGCCGCTATTCGAATCCATCACTGAACAAGTATTATATTACATACCTACAAATGGCTGTTCCGGGCCTGGATGTTTGCCCCTGTGCAATTTATGTATGTAAACTCGGGACTAATATATTAATGCCATCAACGACTAAATGAGGTAGGTAAACAATAATGTGACTCTGCAATTGACCCAGGGCCACAGCGGATCCAGAGAGCAACGACGCAGCAGACGAACTGGCCAGGAGAGGATCGGCTTTGACCGCTATAGGGCCGGAACCGATCATACCAATCCCTTTGGTAACTTTCGCTCACTGGTACGTAAAAACTTCACTAATCAACACGCTCAGCTTTGGTAAAATTTAATTGACATTAGGCAAGCTTGGGAGGCCCTTCCAGAAATAAGCAGTCATTTAACTAAGGTCTTAATGAGAGTGAACAAGCCACAGATCAGGATAGCAGCAAGTGCTATTACAGGATATGGCTCTTTTAACAAACGTTTATTTACCACAGGTATTACAGATAGTCCTCTGTACAGGTCATGTATGGGGGAGGAGGAAACGGCGGCCCACGTGTTGCTGGCATGTCCGGAGGTCACTGCATACAGACTAAACATCTCGGCACGCCGGGATTACTCCTCGAAATTGCTCGCAACATCAAAGGACTGTTGAACTTCTTCGGAGAGATTTCAGGGGTCAAATAATCATAATATTCCTGCCAACACGCAAAATACGCGCTTAGACGTGGAGTTGCGAAAAATAGCCCGTCGTAAACTAACTATGTATGTAAACTGCCTCCACGTTACAGGAGAAAATTTAATTTGGATGTAACATTTAAAAATAGTTAATACAGTGTAAACGCACTCGTTGTGCTAGTTGAAATAACCTTTTGAGTAATATCTCCGTTGATAAGAGTAACTAATAAACCAATAAGGGCATCTACCCATGTCGCTCACCACCTTCGAACTTTCTTTCTCTACCTATCTAAAACTAAGAGACTGAAGACGAGTCTACGCACTCCTCTCTCTAGGTTGCTGAGAGAAAGAAGGGCATAAGTATGAGACCTATACTCCGGGCAAGGGAGATTGGCTCGCCCCATGCCTTCGAGAATGTAAGAGTCGTGCATATAATGTATTAGACGCACCGGGAATGAGAGTGTACAGTAATTATAATCTAACCATAAAAGCGTAAATATGAATACAATGGGGTTTCAATCCCCAGAAGTTGCCTATACGGTGATGATGATCCCTACAAGAAAAGTACTAGCAAATTATACAGGCCAACCAATTGTTTTATCGAATAAATATATGATCTTAGTATCTAAGACTTGACTTCAAAATGAGAGTACTCTATTTTATGAATAATTTTATAATATTAGACTTTAGAAACCAGTTGACAAACTCTCAACTTCAAACAAAATAGAATGCAATATCACTCAATACTAAAATGAAATTTCTCTTAGCCAGAAGTTATACTGGCAGCTTAGCATAAGAAACGAGAAAGAGGAACAAGAGAAAGGGTTGTAAAGGGCTACCATTTAAAAAATGGCTTAAGCATATCAATACATTAATTTCTAGCAAGCATTTGGCGACTAACATTTAACAACAAAGCACTCAATGTAAAAAAAAATCTATAGAAACTACTTTTTTTTTTGCTTTTTATAATACAATACAGTAGAGATAAGATATCCTATTGCTGTTCATGTTCTCTCTCATATTTTTACTCAAATAATAGAAATATGTGATGTATAGAAAAGTGAAATATCAAAAATAATTACAAATTTTATATTTATCAAAATATAGAATAGAAATTTGGCGTGTTGGTTTTATTACAATTGGAATAAATCCAATATCATTGACGGCTTCGTGGCGCAGTGGCTTAGCAATAAGTTGCAGCGGCAAGGGCCGCGGGTTCGAATCCCGCACGGAACAAGTATTTGTACGGCCTACAAATAATTGTTCCGGGTCTGGGTGTTTGTCCTTGTGAAATTTATGTATGTAAACTGATACCACCACTACCACGATACAGGAGAAAATCCTACTATGGAGGTAAGGTTTTTTTTAAGAAGAAAGCAATAAAAAAGAAATATCATCAAGAAATCTATGGGAGAGACATATGTTCAGCAGTAGACTTCTAATAGGCTGTAGCTGTAACAGTAATGGCAAAATTATCATCATCGTCACCTTCATCATCATTACAGTCTATAGTCTATACCACTGCTGTACACGCTGACATCCCCATGGATTGCCTCATAGAGAAGATATTTTCCACAGTTGCTATGCTTGGCAGACAGGTTGGAATTCACAGTTATTTTTATTATTTTGAGTTGTCATCAAGAAGATGCTGCGGCCCATCTTCTGTTTTAGTTTCCCTCTGTCGCCACTTACGACACCCACGGAACAATATGGATAAGTGTATTCTGTTATGCCTCCACTCCATAGATTCAAATCAAATATAGCTGCAATAAATATCACTACAGTCCTTACTATTTCATGTCAAGATATAATCATATAAATTTATAAATAGATTATTAAAATCATGGTCATTAAATATATGTATTATTTTACTACATACTTTCAATAACTCTTAAATGTATTCGACTATCCAAGTTTCAAAATTCAACAATAAATATTTAATACAATCGAATCTCTACTGTAGTGATTCGCTGTCTTTACTTAGAAATATAATTATATTTAGAGAGAAAAATGGAGATTTCCTATATTTCTTATTGCTATTACAGATTATAGAAACATACATATTTAATAGGCATTAGACATAAAATATATTTAAGAGGCAGGAAATAAAAGGCAGGTTGCCGCCTCTCACAAACTTGCAAAATAATAACACATTATGCCATAAACAATAAATTCTTAATATAAATGCCACATTTTTATCCTACATATGGAAAAACCTTTAATAATATTGCCATTATTTTTACTCATACCACAGTGTTAAAGAAGTATAGTTAAGGAGACTCATTAGTCTAGTCACTTAACACAGATAGCGCCATTTCCCTTGATATATCATCAGACATGCAATTCTGGTTTTCTTCCTCCCTTTCATCTCCAGACCACCAACTTTCCTCATCATCTTGAATAAAACACAAAAATAAATCATCTTCATACGTAGGAAAATAATATTCTGGTTGATCCCATCTCTCCTTATGTAATGTCCAATGCTTAGTTTCTTTTAAATGCTTTTCTAGATTCTTAGCATCATCGAATTTAGTATCACAAGACAAACACTGTCGCAAGTGTATTTGCCGTCGAATGAAGTTTACAATTTTAACCTTATGATAGAAATCTAAACCCATTGTTGCACTTGTAAATGAAAATTCATGTGTATGCTCCATATGATCTAAAATACTTTCGTATTCCATTTCTGTGTGTTCACAAAGGAGACATGTGATTAATGGACCATTTTCTTCGGTCCATTCTGACCAGTCTGGATCACTGTCAGCATTAGAATCCTTTTCGCAATCTTCGTTACTCCTTGGTGTTGTGTTATGGACTTTTGCAAAGTATTTTTTCGTATTTTCTTTTATGGTTGTTGGCTTTTCACCTAAATAGTTTACTAAGAAGTATTTATCATATTCTTTATTGGCAGGATTAATTCTTTTATGTCCCTTCTTGCGCATATGTTCTTTAAGTATTATGCGGTCTGTGAACACACCTTCACAGTATATGCACTGAAGGTTTTCTAATTTTGTTGCTACAAGATCTACCAAGCTGTCAATAAAGATTAAATTGTCAGGTTTAGCTACATGAAAATTGTGCTTTTCAAATAAGTGGTTCAAATAACTAGCTCTTGTAGTGTTAGATAAAAACCGACAAAATAAGCATTCACGCACATAATTTTTGTCCTCTCGCTCAAATGCATGCCTTTCAAGCAATTTTTCTAATTTTGTTTGCTGTAAATTTGAACGAAGTTCTTTGTCTTCTGGCAAAACATCACTTAGTAGGTAATATTCTTCATTTTTTGACTTTGTACCATCAGGCTTGTTATCCAACAGCATTGTAGTACAAAAGTATGGGAGATCATGATCTGCAACAAAAGGTTTCATATTAAATTAAAAGTCTTTAACATTTAATGTGGGATGCACCAATAACTATAAATTATTTTCTTACATGGTATAGCCACACTGCAGCTTTATTATGGTTGTAGCATGAATGTGTGAGCATCTCTACTGGGGAAGGACCACACTCTCACAGAATACTTGCGTAAATTATTCTTTTATTCTTATAAAAACGTTACCCCCACACTAGGATTTTCTCTTGTATTGTGGAGGCAGTTTACAAACATATATTGCACAAGGACAAACATCCAGACCCGGAACAATTATTTGTAGGCCATACAAATACTTGTTCCATGCAGGATTCGAACCCGCGGCTTCAAGCGTTGCAACTCATTGCTAAGCCACTACGCCACGGCGCCGTCCTTATTAGCAGCTTAATGCTGCTGTTTCGTATGGTAAGTGTGGAGAACTGGAGAGCCTTTTTACTGGAAACGAGGCATTCCATCTTAGTCCTCAGGAGTAATAACACTTCTGCATTTTGATTCTTAATTGAGTATAAATGTAGATATCTATAGACCACAGTATTCACTTAACATCAGGTGTACTGTGTGCTCATTTTATTTTTATTTTAATTTATTAACACAATACAGTTTACAGTTGTGGAGATAAAAGTGTCTTAAAATTAAATGATTAAGTACTAAACTGTAAGCCAAAACATGTGTTTATGAAGTAAATTATAAAGAGTTACATCTGCTAAAGTTATAAAACATTTAAAAAAAATACAGTGGCTTTGCAATCAACCATCCAGCAGACTACAAGAGAGGCCTGTTACAAGCTAGAACAAAAGTATATGAAAAAAAGTATATAAGTATATTGATGATACCAATTATTTCAGTTATTTCAAAATATCACGGATAGATCTATTGAAGACATTTGGAGTTGAATCTAGAATATCAATATTTGAATGGTCCTGGGATATATCATTGTAGAGGCAACACATCCTAACCGCTGGATTGTAACATGATGTGTTGTTACGGTACACTTGGAGTGAAAACAGTTTAGGCTTGCGGTCATGAGCCCTGTAGTGAGTGTTTATGTTAATCGACGCAAGCAAGGACGGAGAATCAATCGTAGAGTGTACTATTTTATGTAGATATATAAGCCCGAACCTTAGGCGTCTTGTTTCTAGCATAACCATGTTAAATTTCTGCAGCCTATCTGTGTAGGAGGCGAACTTGTGATGGTAACCATGGTGAAAAGAGAGACATCTCAAGAATCTTTTTTGAATGTTCTCGATGCGGTCAGTATGTACGGCATAAAACGGAGACCAAATGACTGCACCATATTCCAGAACACTCCGGACAAGTGAATTATACAGATATACTATACTGTTAGGCTTTTTAAGCTGCTTAATGTTTCGCAGGACAAAACCCAGCATTTTACGACCCCTCATAAAAATATAATTGTAATGCTCAAAAAGTTTGTCAAACTTATTCTATAAAAAAAAATATTATACAATTCTTTACCATCTCCGACTGCATCACCACTTAACATCACGTGGGAAATAGTAATCAAGCACTGGCTATTTTTTTTTATTGCTGGTTCATTATAATTATTGGTGCATCATATATTTTATAATTGTTAGCTAAATAGCTACCCTCTGCCTCTACCCTAGGTACTATGGTGTTATAAAAACTACATTTATGCTATAAAGTGAAAGTATGGAAGTTTAAATGCTTCCTAAAATCAATGTGCACATAATTTTAGGTTTTAAATCATACACATTATCACAAACAAATTCTAACCTTTTAATCGCATTCTCCAGTAACGAAGATAAGCATTTAAATCTGCTATTTGGTTTACATCGGCTATTACTAAACGATGATCCATGAACAAATGTGTGAGCATTTGCTTCTCAGAAGCTGGTAAAATAAACTTTTCTTCGCATAAGACACATGTACACTGCACTGGTTCATCTGTCTTAAAAATTGTCGGAGCTTCGCTCTTCTGGTGTAAGGTCAGCGGTCCAAAAAATTGCTTTTCATTTACTGACATAATGATAATATTATCACTAAATGCAATAGACTTTTACGCCCTTTATTATTCGAACGAAAACTAAAAAAACTATTACTGTTGACAGTGTTTTGACAATATTATAATTATTGTTGTTGTTTTTATTATTCGCTCGAGAGAGCAGGCAAAGGAACTAAGCCATACAGCCTTTTTTTTTCTTAGTTTGGCAACTTCCAATGGATTCTGCCAGCGTCAAGTATTTCATGAGAATCACACAGTGTATTTACTAGTTTCCGTTTAACTTTATGTTACGAACTTACTTACCTATGTAGTTATTTTCGAATGAATTAACATTATAATATTTTTACAAAATTATTGCTAATATAATAATATGGATATAGGTAAGTGACAAAGGTACTATAGTTTAATGTTATTAATGGATATGAAATCTAATAAAGTTTGAACAAAAGGAGTGAAAACTAAATTTAACAAAGACTTAAGATTTACAGGACGAGGAATGTTATTAGGAAGATAATCGTATAATGAAACGGAGAGGTTAGGGCAGTTAAAAAATTTATGATCGATCGTACCTTCGTCTAATCCACACTCACAAATTGAGCTATCTTTAATCCTAAGTTTTGCTAAAAATACAGGTGTACAAGTGTGTCCCAATCTAATTCTACATATGACAGATGTGCTATGTTTGGAACCATTTCTAAATTTAAAAAAACATGGTTTGGAGGGGATGTCAGATTGGAGTTCTGCATAATATTTACCGATAGACTTCTGAGTTTTTTTCCAAAGAGAGTTCCAATCTGACATCTGATGGATTTTCGCAAGAGAAATAAGGTCATGAGTATATGTTATATAATGCATTCTGGTACCCTCATGCATAATGCATGAGGGTACCAGAAGTAGATGCTTGCTTTGCTAAGAAATCAACAAATTCGTTGTCACGTATGCCAATATGACTTGGCAGCCAAGCAAGTTTCAGGTTAAGACCTTGACAAAAACACCTATACAGTGCATCTTTTATTTCAAAAATAATTGGGAATTTCGATTTACTTCGAAACGGGTTAGATGAAATGCTTTGTAATGAACTATATGAGTCAGTAAAAACAATACATTTGTTAATTTTATGTGCTTCTATAAATAAAATTGCTTCTAAAATAGCAACCGCTTCACCAGTGAAAATTGAAGTAACATTTGAATTTTTAAAATTTAAAATAATTTTATATTTTGGTATCCAGACAGCTGAACCTACAAAACTATTATCGGAGAGTTTTGATGCATCAGTAAAAAGGGTCAACCAGCCTTCCCATTTTTCATGTAATATACTTAGAAATTTTTCTTGGGCTACAGGGGAATTTTTAGTCACACCAAAATCTAATATAACTGGAGGGTGATAACATAAAGCTTCAAATGGATGTACGAATAGAGGATTAAACATACTTTGAAATATGGGAAATTTGAAGGTAAGTATCTTTTGGTAGCTTTTAAGAATACATGGAACGTCTTTATGAGTCCAGTAGTTGTTATTCTTCAAACCAGAGTTTAAAGAATGCAGTTTAGAAAGCAGTGGGTGTGAAGATATCTGAAATATTCGATATATAAAGCGATCGGCAAGATACTGTCTACGTAGGTAAAGAGGAGGTTCGCCACATTCAACTTGTAGAGCATTTGATGGAGATGATTTCATGGCCCCTAAAATAATTCTTAAGCACTTGAGTTGGATTTTATCTAAAAGGTTAAGAGCTTGTTTATTACAAGGTTCCAAAAGAAATGTACCGTAGTCAAAATGACTACGGATTAGAGCGTTATATAAAAGTTTTAAACAATATGGATGAGATCCCCACCAAACACCTGTCAGTGAACGAAGGATATTTACATTCTTTTCGCATTTTTGGGCAATGAACGTTAAATGAGGAATACCTGTCATCTTAGAATCCAGAAAAACACCTAGAAATTTAACATTATCACATGTCGGAATTATTTGATTTTGTACTGAGATTGAAATATTGGGACAAAATATTTTTCTAGAGAATATTACTACTCTACTCTTTGTAGGTGATAAGGAGAGACCGTTATTAGTAAGCCAATTATTTAAGTAGAACAATGCAGAGTTAAGACGATAACTCAATTCTGTAAAGTTCTTAGAAGAGTAATAAAGAGTTAGATCGTCAGCATATTGTAAGACTTTACAAAAGGAGTTAACAGAATGTTCGAGATTATGGGTGTATATGTTAAATAAAATAGGACTTAAAACAGAACCTTGTGGGAGGCCTCGCCATATCTGTCTAGGAGGGAGCAGTTTTCCTTGAACTCTTATACATATTGACCTAACTGAAAGTAAATTAAAAATAATGCGAGTAATTCTATGGGGAATATCCAAAAGAAACATCTTTTCTTTGAGTAAAGGGAGGACAACGTTATCATAGGCTGATGATACATCTAGAAAAACAGCACCAACCGATTCTTCTCTGGAAAAAGCCGAACGTATATCAGAGGTAAAAACAGACAAGCTATCAAGCGTGCTCAGTCCCTTTCGAAATCCAAACTGTGTTTTGGCCAAGAGACCTTTATTTTCAACAAACCATTCTAGACGGTTTTTAATTAAATGCTCCATTATTTTGCACAAAGTTGATGATAGTGCTATAGGGCGGTAACTATTACCATCACTAGGATTTTTGTCTGGTTTTAAGATGGGGATAATAATTTGCATTTTCCAATCATTAGGGACTATTCCCGTAATAAATATGTCATTGATTAAGTCTAGAAAAATTTGCTTAGATTTTGATCCTGCGTTAGAAATAAATGAGTATGGAATTCCGACTATACCTGGTGACGAATCTTTAAGGTGTTGAACAACCAATTCAAATTCTTCATTGGAGAAAAGTTCATTAAAACGTGAATTATTAATGTTTACTCCAGGTTGGGTTATCAATGGTTCACAATAACATAATTCCTCAAAGGAGGGAACCCAAGGAGGAGCAAGCTTATCGGCAAATAAATTGTACCAAATAGAGGAATCACATTGCGGTGAATAATTATCAACGTTATATGATCCGCGGAATTTCTTTATATTCTTCCATAATATAGAAGCAGGAGAGCGGGGTGAAAGATTTTCACAAAACCTAAGCCAACCCGTCTTTTTTTTATGTGCTAACAGTTTTAATGTATGGGCAGCTATTTTTTTTATAATTTAAAAAGTTTTCATTAGACATATTGGAGGAGTATAGACGTTCAGCTTGTTTTCGTTTTTTAACACTGAGTGTGCATTCCTCATCCCACCATGGGGGAGAACAAATTTTGGTAGGAGGCGAAATTTTTCGTGTGAAACATGAATCTGCGGTGAGTAAAAGATACTTAACAAAGTTTTTGTAGTTTGTCTCTATATCATTAGAGTCACTGTTATAAAATTTAGAGAGTACCGAATCTGATAACGATGAGAATTTAGCCCAGTCCGCTCTTTTTATATTATATTTTAACAGCGGCGAAAAAACTCTGATTGGTATTGAGCAGTTGGCTAATGAAAGTAATATTGGGTAATGATCACTACCATAAGAGTGAGATAAAACTTTCCAGTTAATACGTGATGTAAGATTTGGGGTACATAAAGTTAGATCAACAACACTTTTAGGATTTTGAGATGGATATACTCTCCTTGTTGGTGATCCATCATTTAAAATGCAAATATTAAATTCATCAAACAATTCCATTAAGAGATAGCCAAAAGTATCATTTCTGCATGAGCCCCATGAGACATGGTGAGCATTAAAATCACCTAGTAATATAAAAGGAGGAGTAATAGATGAAATTATTAAGTTTAATTCAGTGATCAGTGATGGATGTGGGTGAGGAATATAGAAAGACAGGTATGTGATATCATTACATTTGCAAGCAACAACGTTTAATTCCTCACTATGTTGAGGAAGTGAAACCTTGATAAATGAATGTAATCTATTAATTAGGATTACAGCACCGGCGTAACCATCTTTCCTGTCTTCGCGAAGGCAGGCAAAACCAGGAATACGGAAGTGAGATTTCGGGTGAAGCCAAACTTCTGATAATGCTACAAGAAACGGGTTGTATTTGTTGATAAGATAGATTAAATCGCCTTTTTTATGCTTAATACTGCGACAGTTCCATTGAAGAATCGTAGCCATGCTTATTTATATTATTTAAGAGCATCGATAGTTTCTCAAGAGACTGGGTTAAATTTGGAGGTAAACAGTGGTCGTCAAATTTCGAAATGATACACATAAGTGTGGATATCAGTAAGTCTATTAAATTTTCATTTGGAGAAGTATGGTTTTGCTCATTATCTTTAGGGTAAGCATTTCCATTAGGAAGAGAACTTCTTGGGGTTTGGATCATGGATTCATGGGCTGTATGGTCCATGATCACCCACCGCTCGCCAAGCGTGGCAACTATGGCAAATACCCCCCTATGAATGACAGTAACAAAGAAACGGCCCCCAGTCCCCGGCGGCCCCGCTGTTCCTGGCTACGGTGGCGACCATGGTAACGGCGGGGCAAGGGGTGCTAAGAATCTCCGGTGGAGGTTCGGTTGCCACCTTAGACGACTCGACCTGGCAAAGTACAACGCACGCACCCTGAGGACTGACGAGAAGATTGTGGAGCTGGAAGAAGAGAAAGACAAGTTGCGCTGGCATATTATAGGATTATCCGAAGTCCGAAGAGAGGGGGAGAACACGGTAATCCTCGAATCCGGCAACTTGCTCTATCACCGGGAGGGCGACCATCTGTCCCAAGGAGGTGTCGGATTTATCGTCCACAAGTCTCTCGTTAACAACGTTGTAAAGATCGGGAGTGTGTCGACGAGGGTTGCGTACCTTATACTCAGAATCACCAAACGGTATTCACTGAAGGTCATACAGGTTTACGCACCAACCTCGGCACACCCCGATGAGGAGGTGGAGGAAATGTATGAGGATATCTCTAGAGCCATGCATTCCTCCAAAACCCAATATACGGTGTTAATAGGAGACTACAATGCAAAACTAGGCACAAGAGAGAACG